CTGCTGTCCTGAAGGGCCACTGGAAAAAGCCTGTCTCCTGGAAACCCTCAGACCCTGAGCGTTCGCGGGCCTCACCTGTCTGGTCCTCGCCCACAGGTTTTCAAGAACCCCAAGTTCAGCCTGCTGACTGTCCGCAATGACATCACCCTGTTGAAGCTGGCCACGCCTGCCCGCTTCTCCCAGACTGTGTCTGCTGTGTGCCTGCCTGATGCTAATGACAATTTCCCTGCTGGGACACAGTGTGTCACCACCGGCTGGGGCAAGACCAAGTACAATGGTAAGTGTGACCTGTCTTTGCCCAGCAGGTGCTGTCCCTGGCATTGGGGCTGCCTGACCAGTGGGAGTCTCCAGCTGGGCCTTATCTGGCTTTTTTTTTTTTTTTGTCTAAATCCCAACATTCGTAAATCTTCCCATTCCTTTATTAAAAATCTATAAAATGTCCAAATGAGTTAAAAATTTAAAATCGACCAAATGCAAATAAAAACGAAGGTAAAAGGGTGAAATAGTGATATGCTTGATCAGAAAGCCCCTAAACCTAGGCACAAGTAGGGAGGCCTCACAGGCCCGTGTGGGACCCACAGGGGACGTGTCCAGTGTGGGCGTCTGTCTGGCTCAGGCAGGGAGTGTCCAGTTCCCCTGTATGGCTAGGAGTTCAATGCCCAGGTCTGTTCAGAGTCCTGAGAAGGAAGCCTGGCTCACCTGCCCCGAGCCACCTCTCAGCTTATCACTCGATTTTCTCCCTCCAGAGTCCCCAGTTCTGCTGCCAGACAGAAGCGGCCAAGGAGGGGAGGAGGGAGGTGCTTCCTGGCCCTCTCTGAGAGTGGCAGGTTGCAGGTGTCCCCTTCAAGGAAGTCTACTCCTTCCCTGGGAAGGAAGAAGGGGCCCCTCATGCTGCCTGCCCACAGTGGCTGCCGAGCAGAGGCCCCAGGGCTGGACAGTTTGGACCTGACAGGCGCTGTGCCCACAGCTGATTTTAAGGATCAGGAACTTTCCTGGTCCCCCGCTCTCCGTGGCTGGTGGGGCTGAGGGTCCCTAACTCTGCCTTCTCTTGTCTCTGCAGCCAACAAGACCCCTGACAAGCTGCAGCAGGCAGTCCTGCCTCTGGTGTCCACTGCTGACTGCAAGAAGTCCTGGGGCAGCAAGATCACTGATGTGATGATCTGTGCTGGGGCCAGCGGCGTCTCCTCCTGCATGGTACGGCCACTCGGTGCTGTCCACTCCCTGACAGAGCCCAGACCTGGTTAGGCCAGGAGGGCCACAGCTCTCCTCTCTCCCCAGAGGCCTGAGCTGCCCACTCCCCTCTGCCCTTCTCTGCTTACCCTCACCTTCCCCAGTGCTCACCAGAAGGCCAGACTGATGCTAAAAGATGCCCAAGGAGGGTCCCCGGCCAGGCCTGGTGCTGTGCTGCCCACGGGAATCCAGTCCCCACATGGGCTCTGTGAGCTGGAGGAGCCAGCTGGCTTCAGACAATGGCCAGGCTCCTCCAGGAGCAGAGCTGGACTGCCACCAGTCCAGATGTGCGCAGTTTGGTCATGATCACTGTGCCCACAAAAGTCGTTTCCCTGCCCACTCCCCGGATTCCAGTGGGCCAGGTGCTGGGTTTCTGTTCTCACAACTAAAAGGCTCAGGGGTCACTGCAGGTAAACTGGGCTAACTGGGCTTCGCAAAAGAACCACACAAGAGACATAATTACCTTTCTCTTTGGGGTCGCTGTGATGGCTCCTCTGACCTTAAGGGTCCGCAGGAAGAGAGAGAGAGAGAGTGAGCGCAGGCGCTGACCCCTTTTATTGAGGAGAAGCTATTCAAATGAGGCAAGGGGTCAGGTTTCAGGGGGCTGACTCTATCTTCATGATGTCCACTGTCAGCAGGTTGACGGACACCTGGGTAGGCCACACCTAAGGGCACAGTAAGAGGAGGGGACACACACAAGGCACTTCCATGGAAGATTCTATCCTAAACAAGGGGCAAGGGGTTATATTACAAAGGAACAGGTGAGCGTAGCTTCACCCATGGGGCTGTAGCAAGACACACCCATGCACGAGACACCGACCTTCGCACCCGAGAAGGGTGGGGAAAGCTCTGCCACATTTCTGTGACTGAGCACCTCAGCACCCAGCCGGGGAGTGTGACTCAGTCATGTACAAGGTTGGTCTCCCATAGCCAGGCACCCCTGTCAGGCTTGGAGACAAGTTCCTTCTCTCTCCTCCAGGGCGACTCTGGGGGCCCTCTGGTCTGCCAGAAGAATGGAGCCTGGACTCTGGTGGGCATCGTGTCCTGGGGCAGCGGCACCTGCTCCACCTCCACCCCTGCTGTGTATGCCCGCGTCACTGCGCTCATTCCCTGGGTTCAGGAGATCCTGGCGGCCAACTGAACCATGGTTCTGGCCATTCTCACTCCAGTGATTTCCAATAAATTGATCTAATCAGAAACACTGACCATGTGTGTCTTTCTGTGACCCAGGGGACATGGGAATGGGGTTGTCCATGTTGCCCCCCAAGGGATGGCGTTCCTGTTCCCTATCCAGTGCAGGTGTCCTGGCAACCCCTTCTCCTTAGGAAGCTGAGGTCTTTATCTCCTCCCTGCTCCGGACTCCACTGCAGGTCAGCCTCAAGCCCTGCCTCCTGGAGCCAGCTGGACCCATGGAGCTTTCTGGAAGGCAGCAGCCCTTCTGCCTCTGCCAAGGCTCCAGCCACTTTCTCTGCCCACAGCCTCTCCCTACCCAGTGTCCCTTCAGACCCTGGCCTCGGCACACACTGCACACACACCCTGCTGCTAGCGAGGACAGCACTGAGTGTTGGCTCTGCTGTCCTAGAGGTCTGATCGCCCTCCGCGTAACCCTTCGCACGGCTGCAGCAGAGCTGGCTCTTTCCTCAGGCGGTGGAAGGACTGGCTCTGGCTCTCCCTCTCTCTCTCTCTCTCTCTCTCTCTCTCTGTGAGGTTAGCCAACCGTGAAGCCCAATGCCATCAGTTCTTTAAGGAGATGCAGATTGGTGGTGTCCCTTGTCAACACTTCTCCTCATTATTACCTGGAGTATATTTCCATGAAGATACCTCCCCAGTATATCACTTAAGTCCCAGTGACACTATTCACATAGAACACACAGGGCAAAATTTTACCTTTCCCTTTACCATTTGTGTGTGTGTGTGTGTGTGTGTGTGTTGCTGTGAATTGAACCCAGGGCCTCACACAGGCTTGGCAGGCACCCTACCATGGAACTGTATCTGTAGTCTTTTCAAAAACTTTGAGACATGTTCTCTCTAAGATGTCCAGGAGTCCTCAAATTTGTGATTCTCCTGCCTTGAGGTAGCTGGGGTTTCAGGTGTGCACCACGACACCTGCTCTTTATGACTTTTTTAAGCACCACTGAGTTAAAGTCTTTTATTTTTTATTTTGAGACAGGCTCTCCTTAAGTTGCTTAAGCCCTCGCTAAGTTGCTGAGGCTGACTTTGAATTTGCAATCCTCCTGCCTCAGCCTCCTGAGCCACTGGGATTACAGGAATGTGTCACCAGGTCTACTGTGTCCTTTACCAGTTTTTAAGATAGCGATTTTGTTCCCCACCCTCCTCCAACGGTGATACAATTGGTTTTGTTTTTGTATTTTAGAATCATGAACTTGGGGATCTAGACACGCTTGAGGATTGTGATCCATTGTAGTAGCCTATTGAAGCTCACAGGGTCCCTTCTTTGGCCAGCAGAGCTTCTCCAGTAGCTCTCCAGATGTTTATCGGGGTCCACAGGGTCCTTTGTTGCTGCCTCACCATGACAAGGTACCCCAGCTCCTGTCAGTGCCTGCGGTCTTTATTGTTCCTGTTTTTTTTTTAACCATTTTAACTTTTTTATTTGTTTTAATTAGTTATACGTGACAGTAGAATGCATTTATGCACTTTGACTTATCATAGATAGATGGGATATAATTTCTCATTTTTCTGAGTGCACATGTTGCAGAATCACATTGGTCATGCAGTCACATAGATACATACAGTAATAATGTCTGGTTCATTCTACTATCTTTCCTGTCCCCACATCCCCTCCCCTCCCCTCCCTTCCCTTCCCTCTACCTAACCAAAGGTAATGCTATTCTTCTCTAGCGCCCCCCCGCTTTTTGTGAATTAGCATCCTTTTTTAAAGGGTTTTTACAATTTTTCTTTAGATGCTTTTAAGACTGTAGATTTGGTTTCAGCAGTTTTACCATGATTTGGGGTTTTTCGTTCAATTTATCCTGCTTGGGGTTCTTGGAGACTCTTGAAATTGTGGATCAAAAAACCGTTTTGGAAATTTCTCAGCTGTCATCTTCCCAAATACTGCTTTTGCCCCTTCCCTCCATCTTCAGGAAAACGGTAGTCACACACATTGTAACAGGCTGAGTCACGGCCACCCAATGACATATGACGTCATGCCTGCTGTCTCATGAGGAAAAGGGGCCTCTGCATACGTGAATGTGTCGCAAATCTCCATGTGGGAAGCGTTTCTGGATTATCCAAGTGGGTCCTGAGTCCGATTACAAGTGTCCCGAGAGCCACAGGAGATTGTACTTGGAGGAACGGAGACGCGAAGGGGTGAAGTGGAGACTGGCGTGTTGCAATCACCAGAAGCTAGAGAGGCGACAGGTGGGAGTGTGGCCCTGTTAACACCTTAGCTTCAGCACAGCGGGCTTCACGACGGACTCCCAGCCCCCGGAACTGTGAGGGAACGAGTCTCTGTTGTTCGAAGCCTCTTGGTTTGGGGTCATTTGTTGTAACAATCTCAGGAAACTAACAAACCTCTGCTAGACTTTTCTCTCTCTCCCAGGTGACTCTTCTGTTGTGTTTTGTATTTTTCATTCCTATTTCAGATTGGATTTTTTTCCACTGTACTAATTTTCCCTTCATCTCTTAAACCCAATCATTTAGCTAATAATGTTCGTTACTGTAGCTTTCTTTTTTTTTTTTTTAATTGCTGGAGATTGAACCCAGGGCCTTGTGCATGCAAGGCAAACACTCTACCAACTGAGCTATCTCCCCAGCCCAGTTACTGTAGCTTTCTCTTTAAAATTTCCTTTTGAGTCTTCTAAAACACTTCTGAGTTCTCTGCTGAAATTTCAGTCTTTTTGGGGGGAGGGGTTGTGGAGGTACCAGGGATTGAGTTCAGGGGTCCTTGGCCACTGAGCCACATCCTCAGCCCTATTTTGTATTTTATTTAGAGACAGGGTTTTTTTTGAGTTGCTTAGCACCTCTCCATTGCTGAGGCTGGCTTTGAACTTGTGATCCTCTTGCCTCAGCCTCCAGAGCCGCTCCAATTACAGGCATGCATCCCTGAGTTTGGCTGATACTTCAGTCTTATCCACGTGTCCTGTGGGTCTGCTTCCTTGTTGTTCTCTTGAGGTTTGCACATGCTCTGATCCACATGTAGAGCTATTTTTTTTTTTTTTTAAATTGAGTTCTGGGCACTATATGATAAAACTTCTAGAGGTGATTGGGAACTCTGTATGGTTTCATCTTCCTTCACAGAGACCTCTTTATGCTTCTGAAAACCTGTGATTGGCACTAGCATCTTCAGATCAATTCTACCTCATCAGGGATTCGGGTGATATAAAATAGGAGTTTTCCTCCTAGGACCTCAGAACCACTGAAGTTCATTACTATGTCTGCAGGGCTGGGATGGAACTCAGGACCTCGTGCAAGCCAGGCCAGGCTCTGCTACTGGGCTGTGGCCCAGCCCTTCACCACCGAGCATGATGTTCTCTGTGGGGATTTATTTATTCATTTTGGTACCAGGGATTCAACCCAGGGGCACTGAACCACTGAACCACATCCCCAGTCCCCCTACCCCCTTTTTATTTATTAGGAACAGGATTATGCTAAATTGCTGGGGCTGGCTTTGAACTTGTGATCCTCCTGCCTCAGCCTCCCAAGCCACTGGGATTACAGGCTACAGGTAGGTGCCACCACATCTGGCATATTTTCTTTTTTCTTTAAATATTTTTATTAGTTACTGATGGGCCTTTATTTATTTCTATGTGGTGCTGAGAATCGAATCCAGTGCCTCACACACGCTAGGATAAGTGCTCTCCACTGAGCCACAACCCCAGCCCCCAGGGTATTTCTTTTTTAACAAGTGCCCTTTATCGTGTTAAAGAAGTTCCCTTCTATTCCTGCTTTTCTAAATGCCTTTTTTATTTTATTATTATTATGAAATGATGTTGGATTTTCTCCAAGTTATTTTCTGCATCAATTGAGATGATCATGTGATTTTTTTTCCCCCTGCATTCTATTAACGTGGTATATTACACTGATTGATTTTCTCATGTTGAATCACCCTTGCATGCTTGGGATAAATTCCTCTTGGTCATAGTATATAATCTTTTTAATTTATTTTTGGATTCGGTTTGCTGGTATCTTATTGAAGATTTCTGCATTCATATTTATGAGGGATGTTGGCATTAACTTTTCTTTCTTGCGATGTTTTATCAGGCTTTGGTATCGGGTAATGCTGGCTTACTAATTTCTTCATGTTTATTCATGTGTGATTTTTAAAACATTTTAATTTGGATAGTCAGCTCATTCATGTTCAGCCTTTTTTCTTTCCTAATATATTTCTGGCTGTGCTGCTTTGGTGTCATTCTTAAATTTTTAAAAATAATATTATTTTTTTTTTATACCTTTATTTTATTTATTGATATTTATATGGTGCTAAGGATTGAACCTAGTGCCTCACACATGCTAGGCAAGCGCTCTACCACTGAGCTACAGCCCCAGCCCTTGAAATGTATTCAATACTATTTTTATTTCTATTATGATTTCATTTTTAATTCTTGAGGTACTTTGTAGTACATGGTCTCCAGCTTTAGTGTGTACTTTATTGAAGAATAACATAGGTGCATGGCTCAGAAGTGTGCAATTCAATGACTTTCCACAATTTGAATGACATTTACATTGCAATTAGGTCCAGAAATAAACCAGAAGACCCCATGTGCCCTCTGCGTCCTCAGCTCCCACCCCTAGAGTTTTTTTTTATCACTGTTTAAAATATATATATATATATATATATATATATATATATATATATATGAGTATATATGTATATATTTTAGTTGTAGATGGACATATCATCTTTATTTTGTTTAGTCTTTTTATGTGGTACTGGGGATCAAACCCAGTGCCTCATGTGTGCTAGGCAAGTGCGCTACCACTGAGCCAGAAACCCAGCCCCCATAGTTCAGTTTTGACAGCTTTGGAACTTGACATAAGTGGAATCATCCAGCAGTGCCCTTGAGTTTTTTCAAACAAAGTTTTTTTTTTTTTTTTCAATTTTGTCTTCAATCTGAGGAATTTATCTCCTTCTTTCTTCAACTGGAAAATGATATCATTTTTTTTTTTTCAGTACTGGGGTTT